GTGAAGCGTAGGAAGCATTGATGATTAGATACAAATGTTGTGTAATGGTTGTAAGGTGAAAGTTGAAAGTATTGTTGTTTTCGGATTATGCATCGGTGAATGATAGTTTGGCATGAGTTGATTCGGTAGTCTCATGATATAATGTTTTGTTCGGATTCAGTGGAAAGTAGTTTGAATGTAATAGTGATATGTCGTTGAATGAGTAGCAATGTTTGGGTGACACGTGAGATTGACGGGATAAGTTAATTTTTGTTGTTCTGAAATGTTCAATGGTTGTTGTACTGATTCTTACAGAAATTAAAGAAAAACGACTGTGTGTGTTACTCTTTTAAATTAAATTTCGAAGATGATTATGATTTTAATAGCGTAAATGCATTATAAAAATTGATTTTTTTTTGGTTTAGTTTGTGTAAGACCAGTTTCAGATCGAGAACTTCGGAATAAATCGGTTTTATACGTGTTGCATAGTTTTGATTTCGCTTTTTTTGTTGGTCAGTGCTTTTTATTCTGCTCGAAACAATACCATTCGTATACGGCATTTAGAACCTACTCTTTAAAGATGATTTTTGTTTTCAAGATAGTCAAAGGAAACGTAAACTGATATGAAAATGGAGATGCGAGTTTTGGGTGTCGGTGTGTGGGTGAGTATGGGCATGGCATGTAGATTTGAGTATAGGTGTGTATCTTTGATTGTACACTGGCACCTTATACTGACATCTACACGTATGTCTACATTTCTGCAGTTGGCATCCTGAATTGTTAACTGTGCAATTCATCAGACTCTAGTGGTAATTTCTATTACAGTTATTACCATGCCATGCAGATCTACATTTTCTAAGAAGTATACTATCCTATTGTGTGTGATCCTGAGTCATCAGTTAATCTAATCGGAATATGTTTTAATCATAATTTGTGAAAAGTAAAAGTGAAATAAAGGAAAATACAGGCATCTATGTTTCTTATAGAGCAGCAAGTGGTGATCTCATTAGGAGCAGTATTTCAATATTTTCGAATGTAATTACTTAATTATTACCAATTGATTCAAGTATTCACGTATTGATTGCTGCTTTTTCACAAAATACACTCATGTTTTTTATCAATATAATCTGAACACAGAAGTTTCGTGTATTTTCAAGGTCTTGTTAGCATAAAAAATGTATTCAATTTTTGGGCGAATGTTCAATATAACCCTTGAAGAAAATCTTTTTAATCAAAATAGTTTCTGTTCATTTTTACATACTATTAATATGTTAGCGTTTAAATAACGATCTTCACATAATACTATATTAATAAAAAAAACTTCGTATGAACTATCTGTAATATTTACAGTGTTCAGATAGTCTTAGTGTATCTCTAAGTAAATTCTTGTGATTAAAGGTGAATGAAATATTTAGAATGATCTCGCTTTTTTCAACATTGTGCAAATTCATTTAGTCGAATGTCTTTCATTTGTTAAAAACCTAGTTATATTTTAGCCGAAGTTCTAGTGCTTATCGTTAAGTTCGACAATAGGAGTTCGAAATAGAATTCTATCGTCACCTGATCATATTAATTCTTCATTTGAACTATTTTTTTTGCAATTCAATGTCCTATCTACCTGTAAAGTATTTTAATAGGTGGATTTAATAGATCTATCTAAGCAAACAGCAGTGTTATCACTTAACAATTCTGATTTCATTGCTTATTTTGTTAGCCAAATATTTCTTTCGACAATGCTTACAATCAAAGACCTCGTACCACATTAGTGCTAAAGAATGTATCACATAATGTTTACAAAGACTTATATTCACCCCTTTGTCATATTCCAAAATTTGCTGCTCACTATAATGGTCTTTCATTCTATAATATCGACACTCGCTTCCTTGAACCTTGATAATGATAAAATCGGAGATGATGTCACTCTGTCACACACACATTCGAATTGAACTGTTGACAATCAGCAATCGAATCCAAGCATATAATAGAACGACTAATAACGATAACTTGTTATGATTTCATTTTGCCAATGTTGACGAATTTGCTTTAGGGTACTCTTTGTTCGAAGAAAATTCATCGAATATAAAATTTAAGTTCCTGACGAACTATTTTTATCTTGACTTGGATCTGCTTTGATATCATATTTCATGTATTAAACAAGGTTTCTGAAGAGTTTTGGACAAATCTAAAAACACTTGACCTCAGACCCTAATCAAGTTTAAAGAATTCAGTGTGCCAAGATAGTAAAAGCTTTTTAGCGTAGCTCACTTGGAGCTAAAATACCGAACTCACATATATCCTTAAACCTTAATATTCTAAGACATCATATGTAAACTGAAAAAAATTTTATATACTGTAGTTGTTTTCATTGATAATCGATGACAAGAGCGAAACTTTATTATCTATTTCTACATTCAAAACACAAAATTTCTTTTTGTTTGAGACCCCGATTTCATTTCTAATTGTTGTTATGCACTCGATATTAGTCATTTTTGGTTTTTTTTTAATTTGACAAGTAACGTTCATCGTCAAGCGATTCACTTAGCCCTAGACTGATAGAATACATGTACGGATGTAATAGCATAAAAAGCTACATTAAAAAAGTAATACGCAAAATTGATAATATAACCAGTATATCTTAGCCGAGCAGAAAACTTAATTCCGAGAATTCTCACTCTAAGTAAAGATAATGCATTTTACAAATTTAATTTTTTTTTGTCGTTTTTGTTTTTTTTTTTTTGCTTTTATAAATATAAATAGCGCTCAATAAGATTAGACAAGAATACAATTTTTTTTGTAATTATATTGGCGCTATTTGTACGTACAAAAATATGAATTATATTATTCATAAAATTTGAGTTTTATTAATCAATATTTTATGCTTCAATTCGCGCATTAATTCTAAACTATTAATAAATTAGATATTCATTGATACAACATTGCACAATCAATCCTACAATAATGAATAATTTAAACGATTTCTTTAAATCCATACTGCTCATTTGGTCTGACTCTCACTAATTAAATGCTTTTGTAAGCGGTTTTACACCACTACCCGAATTATAGTTATTTCATTGACACATTTTATCGATGATTATTATGGGTTCATTTACATCAGTCTTTAGATGGTCATTTGTGCCATAGTTACCGGAATAGTTGTTTGTACCATGGTTGCTATATGGTCACCTATGACATAGTTACCGGAATAGTTGTTTGTACCATGGTTGCTATATGGTCATCTGTGCCATAGTTACCGGAATAGTTATTTGTACCATGGTTGCTATATGGTCACCTGTGCCATAGTTACCGGAATAGTTGTTTGTACCATGGTTGCTATATGGTCATCTGTGCCATAGTTACCGAAATAGTTGTTTGTACCATGGTTGCTATATGGTCACCCGTGCCATAGTTACGTGGTCGTTTGTACCAAAAAAATGACCGTTTGTGCCATAGTTATAAGCTCATTTGTACCATAGTTACCTAGTTAATTTTAGTAAAAAAATAGCCGTTTGTGCCAAAAAAATGGTCACTTGTGCCAAAAAAATGGTCACATGTGCCAAAAAAATGGCCATTTTGACCGCGTTACCGACAGACAGACAGACACAGGTGAATTTCGGTTTCTAGACCCTAGCCTTTCAGTCTAGGGAATATTA